GTTTTGTTTGTGGCCGCTATGTCACTGTAATATATTCTGGCATGCGAACATTGATTTTCACATCGTGTGAAATACGTAAACTATAAATACACACCTACCCATGTATGAATGCAGGGAAAATGCGCACTGTGCAATAGACTTTTTGCGGATAAGTGTTTGTGCTCGTGTATATCTGCAAAGGAGAGAACAAGAGAGAGCGAGAGAGAGAGAAACACAGCACAACACGAAAAAAGTGTACCTTAATGGATTAAATCCACATTTTTTGTTTGCATTCTTATTATTTTGTTTCCAAAAACATTTCATTTCACATATCAAGATACAGGTGATTCTATTTTTTCGACAGTCTATACTTTTTTTGTTGTTGTTCACCAGCCGTTTTGTGTTTTTTTATTATTCTCAATTAGAGTGGTTCGTTACTACCTATCTGCCTGAATTTATACTGATTCACAAAAAAAAGGGTTAATATTGACTACTACGACAGAATCCGAAAATCTATCTGTAAAAAGTTATGACTGAAAAATGTCAAAATATATCCGAAGAGGTACAAATGCATGTAACAGCTATTTCGATGTCTTTTTCAATTCGAACTTTGATGGAAATGGCTAAACTGTGTTTTTTGGGGAATAACTGAAAATTATCCACTCTATTATATATATGTATGTATGTATGGGGTACTGTGTTGTATCGTGTTTTCCCTTGATTGCCTGTACGTGTACATGCATGGCCTGACAAAATTGCAAACATGCTTAAGCGGGTAATGAAATCAATTGAAAATACAAGTGAAATTAATATAACAGATAAGCCAAACAACATTTCTACATTCCATTGTGTATAAATTGTCGATATATGGATTATTTCGGATGACGTTGGCATTTATTCAGTACAGAGATGGTCTGGAGATGTCAGGGACGGTACCAAGTTTTTCTGTAATTTGAGCACATAATTGATAACAAGTGCGAATTTTTTAATGTAAAAACGATTTAAACGATTTATATTTTCGCTTTTACGAGAAAAATACTATTTGATGCAAAAATGCGACACAAAACCGTTTTGGGTAAAAAAAATGAAAATCTAGCCAGAACTTGATGCAGTATTTCATATTTACATTACAATGCCCAGCTCTGCAATAAATGCAAATAATCTGTGCGGTGGGAAAACCAAATGATGTTATTTCATTTTCACAAAACGGATATTGTTAATACAAAAATGTCGAAAAAGGAGCAACCTTTAATTGATTTTCATTTCACATATTTTTTTTTACCTTGAATAATTGATCAAGGTATTTTTAGTGTGTGTGTTTGTGTGTGTGTGTATGAGACCTGCAAAGAATGGGATGTGCACAAGGCACATGGCCACATGAAAACTTATAAAATCATAAGAGATGAATAGCATAGATCTCTGCTCAATATATCGATGAAGTGTTTATAGGCATCGAATGTAATCGAAAATCCCGACCTAAAAACCAAAATGTCATGGTTTTGCAAATAACATGAGATGTTCAAAATTGTAATAGGCTGCTATCTGTTGTGTGGTGCACACCGTTTCACGTAATTCGCTCTCTCCTTTTCTCCATAAGCACCATATCAAAAACCATCAAAAGCAATCGATTGAATCGATTTATTTTGTTTAATCACTGAATTGATGTAGTGTTGGTTTAAGTTATAATTATTCTGTTTCGTCATTAATAGAATCGATTCTCAACTGATTCAAATATTCAATTAAGTTGTCAGATTTCTTTCGTTCGACAGAAATAAATAGTGTGCCGCATTTGATTCAGATGTAAAATGTGAGCAGAAAGAGGCGCTTGATAAATTGGGTGCATTTTTCCAAATCGGTTCGAATAATCGATGAGCTTTAATTGGTCCAATATAGCTGCTCTTGATAGATGAATACTTGTTAATTACTCTGTGTTCTATTCTCTCTCTCTCTCTCAATTTCCATCTCTCTGTAATGTTTTTGTTTGTTTTGCATTAATGTGAATGTCACATTTCTGTCACATTTCTTTCATTGTGAAAATTTATATTTCTCGAGTTCATGTTTTGTTTTATTTTATTTGCCTTTTCATAAACGTTCGCCAATTGGAATTATTATTATTTTGCATTGAAGATTTTAACAATTGTATAAGTTTACTTCTTTTTTAAATAAAATGCCTTGTTCACTTGGTATCATTTAATATCTAGCAAATTGAGTAAGAGATATAAGCTATTTTTTTGGATTTTAATTTATTTGAACAAGAAATCTATGTATAAATATATTATTCGAAATGCTCTTATTTCTGTATATCTATTTCTATAAATGGTATTTTATACATGTTTTGTTTTTTTTCTAATCGAAAATAATAAAAACGTTTACCGAACCAATTCTGGTGCAAATGAACATAAAACTAAAATAAAATAATACATACACACACACAAACACAAATTGCAACATTCAAAAAAAAAAAGAGAAATCAATCGTTGAAAAACCAAATCCTCCTACTCTCTTTCCAGCCCGTATGATATCACATCCAATAATGCTGGATTGGCTGATTCCTCTATGCCTCAGTACGTTCACAGGTATGTGTACCATCGTAGTGCGACACGGAAATTTTTTAAATTACAACCACCCAATTGCAGTCAACAACAGCAGTCACACAGCCATCGTTAGTACTACACCATTTAAATGCCTCAATCCAAATGGATTTCCGAATAGTATAGATGTTCTGTCTGCGCGTTTGAACAAAACCCAACGGGGAATTTGTGCAAAATAACACAACTCGAACGAAATATAAAAAAAAAAAAACATACACAAACACACATTTATGTTGCACAGTGACATATACAGAGAAAACACATTTGAACGGAACACTAATCTTGAAATAACAACAGAATAGCTTTTACAAAACATCAACATAGCAACACATTATATATTTTCATTCGGATTTTACGTTTATTTATACAATTTTTTTTTATTTCTGTTTGCGCTATCTTTTTCGCTCAATGACGATCAAAACCAAAACCGAAAAAAAAATTAAATAAATAAATAAAAAGCGAAGTAGAGAATTACCCCTATTGGCGAAACAACATCACACACATACACCACCAATTTCAATAATTTTGTATGCTTTCCATTGTTTTAATTGAACAAATTCAATTGCAAAAGAAAATATTGTTTTTGAGATAACCGTAGACATTCATTCCATAAACACACAATATACAACATATATTTTGTTTCAATATAATATGAATATGTTACACTCATAGCCAATAATAATGATGTTTAACCGAATTAACATTTTAAATATTTAGCGAATATATATGGCCACGTGCGTGCAGAAATTTATCAATTATATCAATAGTTTTGTCTCGTTTAGTTGTCATTTCAAACAATATTTTATATACCATACATATTATTATAATATATAGCCTCAAATGCAAGTAAACTGCGTTTGCATTAAATGCTCAACTTTTTTTGGTATTATTAATGCAATATTAGCCACACATTTATATGCCATATAAATATATATTATTCATTTAACAATTTTCATTGAGATACATACACTTGAAAAAAAGAAAACAAGACATTTTTTTCTTTTTCTTTTAATTTAACCATTTTAAATTGACGAAAAACAGACAAATAACCAATATTTCAGGCCGCGGGCAAAGGTGGAATCATACAACGTAGATATTAGACAATTAAGTAGCAATAATATTTGCACTTATTGGATTTCCATCAGTTTTTGGTCATTTTTTTTCTTCTTCAATTTATGATTCGAAACATAATATTCACATTTCCTCAAATTCGATTATATTTGAGATAATTTTTTTTTTATTCGGAATTTTCGATTTGTATATTTTTTTAGCATATATATACTTTCTGCAACGATTGGAAACGCTGCAGTTCAGTGTTTAATTGAGTAGGGCGGCGCCACCGTCTATACATACAAATGTCCATTTAAATCAGCGCCATCTACGCTAAAACATACTTTTGGTTGAAAATAAAACGCCATCATATTCCGACATTGACTTTCTGTGACAGAAAATCTGTTCGAACGGATGGAGTACGCCAGACACTACAGTCGCCGCCACTACTATCGCCGTTGTTGTCATTGGACCATAAAAAAATGCCATGCATTTTCATCATTTTTGTTTGAATACATATGCAATGCGACCGAAATATTGAATGGTGTCTCTATCAAGCGCACAATTCGAATGGATCGATATTATGCTATATAGTTTTCATTCATTCAACCGAAAATCATTTCAATAATAGAAATTTTTTGTTTTTTTTCCATTAAAAGAAAATCTTTATGCTTTAACATTATATTCGTGCCATTCATTCAAACACGTAAAAGCAAACGCTTTTTTCCGATTCGCCCTCAACTCAATGTTGATCATCTAATAATTATTTTGCCATGGAATTCGAGACACTATTCACAAATCAATGTGCAATCCGAAGCGTATTCTTTTAAGCATTAGCCCATACAAATACTTCTATATTTGATTTTCTGTATTTGTCCATTTATCTTTTGTTCGTTCGGTTTTATCGGTTCGTGTTTTCTCTCTCTCTCTCTCTGTTCTATTCTCAATATGTTTGCTGATTTGCATATTTTCATTCGATTTATTTCAATTTTATGTATTTGTTTGTCTCCTTAACACCGATACCCAGTACCATCGAATCTGTACTTTTCCGAAATTGCGATTTTTGTTTGCTTTTCACTCTTCATCTCTCACTCTCTATCTCTCACTCTCTCATTCTCTCTTCATATCTCCCTTTTCGTCTCCGTTTCAATCACTCATTCACTCACATAAGTCAGTCTTTCTTCCTCTCCACTCTACCGCTTGCTCTCTGCCTGTTTTTATCATTCGTCACTATGTGATTTTAATTTTGATTAGATTTTTATTTTATTTTATTCTTTTTTTTAAAGCAACAACATTCAGAAAAAAAAATCACAAAAAAAACGAAAGTACTAAACCGAACCAATTCTCTCTTCTATTTCTCTTTGCTTTATTTATTTGCAGAGGCTTTGGATTTATTACGTTCGGTGACCCATCTAGTGTAGACAAAGTATTAGCACAAGGCACCCATGAATTAGATGGAAAAAAGGTTAGTATACATATGCTTCATATACATATACGAATTACGTTCATGTCCATGTATGTCTTTCAAAATAATAACAAGTTGAGAATAAAAAAAAATATATACATGCTCAAGACAACAATAGATAAAGGAGAAGAGAATGGAAAACCAAAAGCATTAAATAACAAAAAAAAGACGGCGGGACGAGATACATCCACAAACATGCATACGTTTAGGGTAAAGATAAAAGCTGAAATTGACCGATATATTCAAAGGCAAAATAACATTGTTTGAGCAATTTTGCTGCAGATAGGGCTTGGTTTACATAAATAAAAATTGTTTTTCGACTTTTTCGTTCCTTTTTCGATGCAACAACGAAAAAAAATTAAAATTATTGGGATTAATAATCTGCGTACCCACGAATTAAAGCAAAATACCAAAATACGGAATAAATGACAAAACAGCACGCATACCCGCATCCAGTGAGTGATTGAAGTCGGGATAAGCACCGCTTTGTGGAATACGATAGTTTTAATTTGCTTGCTTAATCCCTAGCAATGAACATTCGTTCCGTTTCGATTGCTATTTTCATTCAAAATATTTCTGCACATCCTTAATGTGATATATATAAAAAAAGAAGAGGAAAAAAAAGAAGATAGATAAAACAGCTGAGACCATAAAACAATAAATAAAATTCACTTTGGTGGAAATCTTTATAACATTTTCACTCCATTCTCATTTGAATTTCGATTTGGTTTTTATTTCTTTCTGCTGTTTTTTCCTGCTTCTGGCTTGAGAGAATTTCAAATGTTTCTTCGTTTATTCGCTCTCTCTCTCTCTCTCTCTCTCTCTCTCTCTCTCTCTCTAGCGTGTATGTGTGTTTTTTTTTCATTCTTTTATTTCTCGATAACGAACGCGAATGTTGGTGTTCGTTTGTTTCATATGCAAACAGTTTTGCTTTATTTTGATTGTGCTTGCATAAGATGTTAAATAAATATGAACTGCGCGCATTGTTGACATACACACCATTGAACATTGAGCAGTTTGAAAGTCTAAACTGCAAGTGATGTGTATTTGTCAAATGAAATAGCCAATCAAACAGATCCAAAATTGGAATTGAAGCATGGCAATACAATATTCCAATTGCTACGGCAAAACAATAAATGCTAAAGTGGCAAATTACGCAATGCTATTTGCGTCGAACCCATCGTATCGCCCTTTTTCTTCATCTCTCATGCTTCTTTGTGTATGTATATATTTCTTTGCGCAATTCATGTTAGCTATTTCGGACGAATATTTTTATATGTACACATTTTTTTCTTTCTCGTCTACATTCACTCACTTTCCCTCCCACTATCGAAATGTATTAAATTTAAAATGGGAAGTAGAACATAAAGGGTTTTATAATTTCAAAAAGAGCAAAAGGCAAAAAAGAAAAACGTACGTCTACTTCTTCTGGTGTGTGTTTTTTTCTCTCGTTGAATGTGTACATAAGTTCTACGAGATCAAACGAAAAATTCAGATTTGTGTGCATCTACTTTAGTTAATGCCATTTTTGTAGGCTTTTCATATACATTTTCCGCGTACGGCTTCTGTTGACGACAGTGAACAGAAGAAGAAAAAAACAGTACCTATTATGCTTGAATTAATGTTATAGAATCTTGGCTTTGTTCTGGCTCTTTACTGGGTTTTTGACAACTTCGATATAAAAAAAAAGTTAATGTTTCATGCGGACGAATTTAATTTTCGACTAGGTCAGCCTTTTTCCTGTCCACTTTTTTTTCTCGTCCTATTGTCAACTTTGGATTGAACATTTTCTCTGTAGATTCGATGTTGTTTGCTTTGACCAATTGCAAAAGGCATTACGGAGAGAATTCGTCTCTCTCTTTACATTTATTCATCTAATTGACATTTCACGATGGATATTATTTATTGAATATACGGAGAATATACGGATAGTACAGCAAACATATTAAATTTTGTGTTTTATGTAAACGTCGATCATGAGATAATATTCCTAATTCACTTTGGGTGAAATGCAAACAAGTTAGATTTTACTATTTGACCAATCCATATATGGTAATAATTCAAATAAATTTATTTGGTTGACGTCCCTTTATTTGCATTTCATCTATATGTGAAATACCCCCAAAAAACATTCTTCAGAGATGCACACACAAACAATGCTGGGAGACTAATTTCTTGTGTTCAACAGAGAAAAAAAAACACGTCAGCATTTTCAAGCATGGGTCACACACTTGAACACTTTGTGTAAGTGACATTTTGTACATTCATTTTTCTTTAAAAAGAAAAGCATCAATTTAAATTGAGAGAAAAAATAGCTCGGGCATTACAAACGTTTAGAGACGATGAGGGATGGTACTTCCATAGCCATATTATTCTTATGATTATTATCATAGTTAAAAAAAGATGACACTTGAAAACCGACAAACCGATGTGAAAATAAACGACACATTACGCACACCACCCTTTTGAAATATTGCACAATATATAAGCCTAATGATCATACTTTCGGTGATGCTTTCTCTCTCTCTCTCTCTCTCTCTCTCTCTCTCTCTCTCTCTCTCTCTTTCGTTTGGTATGGTCGCAAACACACACAATAAAAATGGTCAACAATGTAAAATTGTGAGAATTTATATGTGTTAGAACATTGAGTGCATTCTTCTTGTATTTAAGCATTTCGTTTATCACACGAGAAGAAAAAAATATTTATTATTCGTTTTTCTAACATTTTAACAATAAAAACAAATCTCTCGCATATTTTTTTTTTGTTCTTCTATTCTACGTCAACCTGTTAAATTAAAAAGAAAACTGTACAAAAAGTGGCACAAAGTGGCCTCTCAAATATTTTGTGATATTTTTTTGATGGTCATGAATATATGGTTATCATGTAACCAAAATGATGAATGTGCTTGACTCAATCGCCGGCTGTAACCGTGACTTTTTTTCTCTCGTTCACTGTATGAATGAAGTGAAAAAGTTTTCACGAGCTGCGATTTTCGACGCATACACACACATACACCAAAAGTGAAAAATAAATGGTTGAAGTGACCCAAATTCCGTAAAGAATAGATAAACTTGTGTGTGCGTGCTTACGATAAAGAGATTTAATTAAAAAAAATCCAAACCGTCACATTTGCGCATTTTCTCTATCAGCTTTTTGGTTTTCTTATTCGTCTTTCTCTTTCTGCATCTCCTTCTCTCTTCGTTTTTATCACTTTTGTCACATAAATTTTTTTTCAAACCATTCTCATAAAGAAAATCGTACAAAGAAAGAAGAATTATTCGTTCATTTTTATTTCTAAAACATAGATAAATTTTTTCACTTCTTTTCAGATTGATCCAAAAGTAGCGTTTCCTAGGAAAGCGCATCCGAAGGTAAGTAAGCCATAAATTTAAATATGTGACTTTACAGAGTAACATCCTTTTTTGAATTTTCCTTTATGGGGAGGGGTGGCGATATTTTTTTGGAGAAAAAATGATATTATATATAAAAACATGTTAGGAATTAAATATCAACATGGACTAACTACCACGAATATATTAACATTGCTTTTACCATCGTTTTTTCGAAGAATTCCTATTTAATCTGAACGAGACCTGATTACGAACGAAATACATACACACAGGGAGAGAAAGGGAGAGAAAGAGAGAGAAAGTGAGGGAGTTTGGAAAACTTTACCGTTTGGATAGAAGTGAATAATTAAATTTGCTATTTAGGACATTTTTTGGGACTGATCAGAATAAAATCCCCCACATTGAACAAGAAAGATAGATAGAAAAATGTTAAAACAACACATGTAAATAAACCAAAAAGCTATCGTCATCAACAAACTTGATAAATGAAAAACATAAATATTAATCTTCGCCACTTCGTTTCGAAATAATATATGGAAAATTAGATAAACACATTAGCGCACATCGCTTTGTCGTTAACAATGGAACAATGGCTCTCTCTCTCTTTATCTCTATTTCAAACTCTTTCTCTTCTTCTCTCTTATTTACACATTCAATTTTGTTCACTCTCCGCACACAGTGGAGAATCAAAAATATTTCCAAAATTTAATTTAGCAAGAAAAGTTTTTATTGAGTACGAACACATATAACACTTCGGGATGATACGTGCCACCGTTTGAATATGGATGCGTTTCAACATTTATACATAATTACTGTTCAAATGCCAGTACCTTTTGGTTTCTTAATATAAACGGTTGAGAGCAAAACCTGAGAAAACCCAATCTAAACACATACACATTGAAATGTAGAGGGTGTATGTGTGAAAATTAATAAATACATAGTATATGGATATATGTATATGTAGATGGCGAGCTTGCATATGGGAGAATGCAAACAGTCAACGGTTTATTGGTATGTGAATTATTGATGTCTTGCTTCTCGTTACCAGTGAGATAAATAAATAAAAATCAAGCGTAAATCGTACAGTATTTAGCTTCTTTCGAGAATGTGAACATGACGTAATTCAAAAGCACACCATAATCGAAACCACTTGAAAAACTTATAAATTGATTAAAGTGGATTCACTCTCTTCACATCGCAACGGACCGAAATAAAGCTCGACTTTGCTGTTCAGATTCAAATAAACGAAATTCACATACGCTTAGCTAACGCTGTTGCCGTCATCGTCATTGGTATTGTTGCTTGTTTCTATGTTGCCCATTTTGAAAGCACAATGATGCTTACGTGAGTCACCTCAAAGTAGTTTAATTAATTTATTTTGCTAATTTGTTTTCAAAATATGTGCAATAATTCAACTATCCTCTATCCGATCAACTATTTCTCTATATATGCAACTACTTTGATCAAATAACAGCTTTACAATTGCAATTATAGAGTTTTACAACATATCGTTACAACATTCCACAGAAGATTCCATTCTATATGGAGATTACTTATGTTTTCTCTATGTGTGTGTGTGTGTGTGTGTGTGTGTGTGTGTGTGTGTGTGTGTGT